CGGATTGGCAAAACAGGAGAGTAAACCAGTCTGCCTTGATCTATGAATTAATGTCCGGGACTCTCACGGTATCTGCTGCCCGCAGCTGTTTTATAGAAGGAAACTCTCCTTCACTTCATGAAATGGCTGCAGCATCAGGAGGCAGCGGGACGTATACTCGGTAAAGAGCTGTGCCTTTTTACGCACCGCCTTCGCTGTGTTTAACTTAATCAGAACAGTTTAAGAGTGACTGCAGGCTGCTACGTGTTAACCACACACACATCTACACACATCGAACTGCCCGATTACTCCCCCTTTTATTAGTTTTATGAAGGAGATGTCCAGTCAGTCACCAAGGCGCATGATGTGTGTGTGTATGTGCTCTGCTCAGCTCAGCTCTGTGTGTTCGGTGTGTTTGTGTCTGTCCGACACCGGCATATATGCGGCTGTTCCCAAAATAAATTAGTTTAATCTTAATCTCGATGTAGTGCTAAATGCTGTCGGGAGTGCACACAGGCGACCGGACATCTCCTTCATAATGCGCCACAACAAAGGTTGGGAACACCTGTTCTAGAGCAGGGGTTCCCAACCTTTATTGTGCCAAGGACCGGTAGAGGTTGTCAATTTTAACTGATTTTAATATTTACTCACCACCAGCAGGTAGCAACAGAGGCCAATTGTATGTAACAGCCTGAACAAATACTAGAACAATATGCATCCAAAACATATTAACTAAGTTTAAAAAAGAACCGGTGTTGTTTTTTGGTTTTTCGGAAAACCAAAAAACCGACGTTATTCAGTTTTTAAACCCAAACGGGAAAACAGATAAATCAACGTTTTGGTTTTGTTTGTATGATTTACGGATAATCCAGTGAATGCTGGGAAAACGAGGAGAAGGCGCATTATGAAGGAGATGTCCGGTCGCCAGGGTGTGTGTGTGTGTGTGTGAGTGTGTGTGTGTGTGTGTGTGTGTGTGTGTGTGTGTGTGTGTGTGTGTGTGTGTGTGTGTGTGTGTGTGTGTGTGTGACACTGGCATTTGTTTTCAGAATATATTATGATAGTGTCGTTCGTTCCGGTGCACTCCCGACATTTAGCATTTAGCACTACATCGAGATTAAGATTAAACTAATTTATTTTGGGAACAGCCGCATATATGCCGGTGGCGGACAGACACAAATACACCGAACACACAGAGCTGAGCTGAGCAGAGCACATACACACACATCATGCGCCTTGGTGACTGACTGGACATCTCCTTCATAAAACTAATAAAAGGGGGAGTAATCGAGCAGTTCGATGTGTAGATGTGTGTGTGGTTAACACGTAGCAGCCTGCAGTCACTCTTAAACTGTTCTGATTAAGTTAAACACAGCGAAGGCGGTGCGTAAAAAGGCACAGCTCTTTACCGAGTATACGTCCCGCTGCCTCCTGATGTTGCAGCCATTTCATGAAGTGAAGGAGGTTTTCCTTCTATAAAACAGCTGCGGGCAGCAGATACCGTGAGAGTCCCGGACATTAATTCATAGATCAAGGCAGACTGGCTTACTCTCCTGTTTTGCCAATCCGGTGCTTAAACAAATAGGTCTACACCCCTGGCCGACATGTCCTTAAAATGAAGTCCGAGTTTGAAATATATCTCAAATAATGTATGCACCACCATTTCCCCACATACACATAACAGTCTGCAATCAAACGGTTGTCTCCTGTGCGCTTCTCTTCGTACTTGGCGCACCGGTAACATGCTCGTGCGCACAAGAGGCTGAGACCTTATAGCCGCCGAATCCCTCGGAACATCATAAAAGCCATTTTCAACGGTTTTCTGGTGAAAGATTAACTAGCTACTGGATGAAATAATATGACTGGTGGCATAGGTGCGAACATTAAACACTTTTTGAAAAAAATATTATGATAAAATATTTTTATATATTTATAATTCTGCAAATATTACAATAAACTCACAGCTATTTCGCGGACCGGGGGTTGGGAACCCCTGCTCTCGAACACACATATTATGATATTAGGGTCATGCAGAGTGAGATGAGATCGCTGTCCCTTTAAGAGAGAGAGAGAGAGGGGTGTGGCGTGTGTATGTTTCTGGAAGTGAAACGAGGCAGCAGAAAAACAGAGGTCTGTGATGTATTTTGTGAAACAGAAGAACAGCTAAATAAATGCAACGGCCTCCCAAGAAGAGCTCGCCTCTCTCCAGTCATTTAAGCTAAAGTGGGTTATTGAACCTGAAGCTTGTTGCTTCTGCCCTCCTCGACTACGGTCTGGGAGCCGACAGGAAAGTTCAACACACAGATTGTCAGTCCGCCCCTTTGTAGCATATTATTTCAATGAGAGATGAGCAGATCGCCACTGGGCTTTCAACTAAAGACACAGCCACGCAAACACTGCGGCTTTTGTAAAGCTCCTTATGGGTACTACAATTTGTGAAGTGCTTTCTTCCGTGGTGAAACGATCAGCCCTGCACCACGGAGGAAAGCGGCAGAAAGTCACCTGGAGTTAAAGAGAGCGGGGCTGCGCTGCCTGCATGGCTTCCTTCTGCAGGTAACGGGGAGACGCGCTCTGGCGGCGGTCTCGTTCAGGATCCGAAAATACAATTTAAATTCTTTGCACACTTATTCCACTTATTCCTAGTGTGCCACTGGTTACGGTGCCGCGTGCCAATGCTGGCACGCGTGCCAGGGGTTGCCGACCCCTGATCTAGAACATGTCTAGAAGCTATGTCATTCAATTGATATTTTTTATTGATTCCTGTAGACGCTATTCTCAACATAGAAAGCATTTATTAGGTGAATGGCAGGTTTTGTGATAAAGGTAGTGGGTCTGTCAATGTCAAGTGATGCACCTTGAAGGGACCTTGTTTTTTCTTTACCAGAGCAAGAGAGAGGCACCATGATGAACACAAATACTGGAAATTAAAATCACTCTAAATGGTACTCTTGCCTGGATGTTTGACTTCTTAACTGCCTGTGTACAACCTGCACTGAAATGGTGCAGCAGTGGCCTCTAGCTGTACATTTATTTTAATAAGAATTTTTTTTTTACAAATAGTCACTACAACATGTTTAGTTTCTATCTTTCATGCTTCTACAAATCACCCCATTTTGGGCCTAAAAAAACTTTTAAAGGTATAAATTGCCTTTAGTTATAATCAGGAGCCCAAACAAACTTCTGACTGGCTACCCCTAAATATTCTTATTATTCTTAATAAGTTTCATGTAGTCTTGTGAACATTTTGTAAAATCAAGTAAAAGCAGTGATGCATTCCCAAAATTGGGAGTGTATCACCCAGGCTCTCAAAATGCTTAGAATTTTATTTTTATGGGACTGTTTTGATCAGTTCATTATTAGGAAATATGACCACCTACATATCCAATCTATAAATATGTATTTAGATAAGTTGCAATCATCATCAACGATAAAGTTTATTCACTTACCATTTCGGGCAAATTTGCTGTCCATAGTTGGTGATGGAGGGAGGAGCTGGTCTGCTGCTGAGCTGAGGAAGTGAAGTTAGTCTGCAACAACACCTCCTTAAATACAGACTTCATGCAGCAAACCACACCCACACACACTGCTGACATCACAGTCTGAAGTTCAGCTCCAGTGGGATGATTCATAGATTAAAATGTTTAACATCTTACCCTGGCTTAATAAACAGAACGAAGGGAAATATAGCCTAACGTGTTCAGATTTTTAAAAATTTAACAAACAACATATTTTAGATATCAGCCCTCAATGTTCTTTGCACATCAGCATTCACCCGTTCACACACATTCATAGTTTCACGGCTGTTTTTTCTCAGCTCTTCAATGATCGTTGGAATGTGTTGATTCACGTCCTTTATTGTTTATTGTCTGTTTTTAGCACAGCTAGTATATCAAGTCCACCTGCATGTTCATCGTTCATTTAGATAACTAGAAACAGTTCACCCTCCCATCAGCATTTACAAGAAATGACAACTGTTCTTTTAAACAGGCTATATTTCATCCCACTGGAGCTGAACTCCAGACTGTGATGTCAGCAGTGTGTGTGGGTGTGGTTTGCTTCATGAAGTCTGTATTTAAGGAGGTGTTGTTGCAGACTAACTTCACTTCTTCAGCTCAGCAGCAGACCAGCTCCTCCCTCCATAGCCAACTATGGCCAGCAAACATGCCCACAATGGTAAGTGAATAAACTTTATCGTTGATGATGATTGCAACTTATCTAAATACATATTTATAGATTGGATATGTAGGTGGTCATATTTCCTAATAATTAACTGATCAAAACAGTCCAATACAAATTAAATTCCAAGCATTTTGAGAGCCTGGGTGATACACTCCCAATTTTGTGAATGCATCACTGCTTTTACTTGATTTTACAAAACGTTCACAAGACTACATGAAACTTATTAAGAATAATAAGAATATTTAGGGGCAGCCAGTCAGAAGTTTCTTTGGGCTCCTGATTATAACTAAAGGCAATTTATACCTTTAAAAAAATGTTTAGGCCCAAAATGGGGTGATTTGTAGTCTGAAAGTATGAAAGATAGAAACTAAACTATTAACTACTTTTTTATCAGTCAAAAAAGTTTTCTCATTAAGATGAATGTACAGCTAGAGGCCACTGCTGCACCATTTCAGTTCAGGTTGTACGCAATTAAGAAGTCAAACATCCAGGAAAGATTACCATTTAGTTTGATTTTAATTTCCAGTACTTGTGTTCATCATGGTGCCTCTCTCTTGCTCCGGAAAAGGAAAAACAAGGTCCCTTCAAGGTGCATCACTTGACATTGACAGACCCACTACCTTTATCACCAAACCTGCCATTCACCTAATAAATGCTTTCTATGGTGCTAATAGCGTCTACAGGAATAAATGAAAAACATCAATTGAATGACATAGATTCTACACATATTCTAGATTATTAAACCTTATTGAGCCCCCCCCCCCCTCACTGTCAACATTGTTCATTTGGTAGTTGAACCATTTTATAAATACAGAGATTGCTAAATATTTCTTAATTTTTTTCAGCCCACCGATCAGAATCGAACACGTACAATAACGAGGTACTCCGGATTGTGATGGTGGGGAAGACCGGTGTTGGGAAGAGCGCCACAGGAAACACCATTCTGGGAAAAAAGTCCTTTGAATCAAAGTTCTCTGCTAAATCCATGACTGTAAACTGTTCTAATGCCGTTAGTGAAGTTGATGGACAAATAGTTAAGGTTATTGACACTCCTGGTCTGTTTGACACCAAGATTGAAGAAGAGGAGACCAGAAAGAACGTTGCACAGAGCATTGGTTATGCTTCTCCTGGACCCCATATCTTCCTGGTCGTCATCAGACTGGGCAGATTCACAGAGGAAGAAAAACAGACAGTGCAGAAGATTCAGGAAATCTTTGGAGAGGAAGCAGACAGATACAGCATGGTCCTCTTTACCCACGGTGACCTGCTCGAAGACCAACCTATTGAAGAGTTCTTGAAGGAAAGCAAAGAGCTGCAGGAACTTGTGGCCAGATGTAACGACCACTACCACGTCTTCAATAATAAGTTGAAGGATCGTTCTCAGGTCAGAGAGCTGCTCGACAAGATCAGAAATATAGCAGATAAGAACGGAGGAAACCATTACACCAGTTCAATGTTCCAGGAGGCAGAGAGGGAGCTAGAAGAGGAAAAACAGAGAATCCTTAAAGAGAGAGAAGAAGAAATACGCAAACGGGAAGAGGAATTTGAAAAAAAAATAGAGGAAAAGTATGAGAAACAATTCCAACAAATCAAAGAGGATAATGAGAGGATAGAAAGGCAGTTGAAAGCTCGTAAAAGTGAAATGGAGGAGGAGATGAGGAAAATTAGAGAAGATCATGCAAGCCTAAAAGCAGCTAACAAAAAAGAATTGGAGGAGGGGATGAGGAGAATAAGAGAAGAGGAGGCAAGGCTGAGAGAAGCTAACAAAATAGAAATGGTGGAGGAGATGAGGAGAATGACAGTAAAAGATGAAAGCCTAAAAGCAGCTGGCAAAAAAGAAATGAAGGCGGAGAAGAGGAGAATAAGAGAAGAGGAGGAGAAGAGGGCCAGGAAGGATGCTGAGGAGAGCCCTTCAATAATTGATGGGATTTGTTCCATTGCGAAAGCAGGTTGGAAAGTTTTCACTTCTTGGTTTTGATAAACTAACAGTTGCACAGGTTTCCATGATACAGTCTGACCCTCTGGAATACTTCCTTGTTAATCTTCACAGTCACCTTTTTGATTTTGTTGTTTGATGTGATTTATAGTAATATCAGTTATTTCTGTGGTGAGTTGCAATGAAATAATAACAGGGTGACTGATTGTCAACAACCAAGATGTTAACATTCTAAACTATAGTAATGTAGTAATGTACTAATTTGTTCTTTGATAGCTTTTGCTTTCACAAGAAAAAAGTATGACGAATTATATATCATGAATTGATGCTTTTAAGATGTTATACGGATACGTTTTCTTTGGCTTTCCTGTAACTGGCGTAATGATGGCTTCTGTCAAATCAAAAGGTTAAAATGTGTGTATGCAATGAATTGTGTAATTCAATATGAAAATGTTGGAACAGAAATTAATGTGTAAAGACAAACATAGTAATCAATAATGTCCTATAATAAAAGACTGTAGACTTCACATTGAGGGTGTAATGTGCTTTTGTTGTTTAATAAAGGATTTAAAAGAAAGTATTAAGGGTCTATCTTATTAGAAATGTCAGTTTAATTCACAACTGGGTCTCAATTAATTTTTTTCATGACATCATAGAAAAAAAGCAACTATTTCTAGGTACATGAAGCCATTAAAAGTAAACTGGAAATGAATTTGAGCTACATTTCTGTTTATAAAGGCAGCAGATTGTTCCTACATCTTAATTGATTAAACGTCCCACTGTAGCGTAACTTAAGACATCAAGAAACTGTGATGTCAGCAATGTAGTCTGTATTTAAATGTTAGGTCAATAAATCATATCTCTAGTGTTGAGTGTAATTCACCTAATGACATATTTATATAAAGACATGTAGCTTTTCAAAGCTCACAATGAACAGATAGTAACTGCGTAGTGATGGGGAAAGAGAAAACGTTAAACATTTCTCAAATCTCCAGCAGTCTTGTGAGCTTGATGATGATAAACTCCTCAACGATCTGTTTAACAAGATCAGAAATAAAGCAGAGAAGAAGGATGGTGAAATAAGAAATGGAGGATGAGCTCACATTTAAAGGTGGGGTATGTAATTTTGGAGAAACCAGCTCGAGATCGCTAGAATTTGAAAATACACAGCCGGAAAAAATCTGCCACTTCCTTACAGAGCCCCTCCTCCAACACACACGAACGCGCACATGACCAATGAGGGCACGAGATAAGTTTGTGCAGAGATGGAAGGCTGACAGGCAGGTAGGCCATCCAGTTATTTTAGCCGGGCTGGCTAAAATGATTGGTCGTGCTTTTTACAGTATTACGGCTTCCACAGATGATATTTTGTTATGGATTTTTTAATGGATTTTTTAATGGATTTTTTGTCAAAGCATTCATTGCCATCGGGATGTTAAAGCTCCCATGTCATGCTTTTCCGGTTATTACCCGTCCCCTTGTGTGTTATGAAGGTTTTTATGCATGTAAACGGTGTGCAGAGTCAAAACCCTCAAAGTACACCCTGTAGCGAGTAAAACTCTAACACAGAAAATACCTCCCCAAAACGCCTCGTTGGAGATACGTCACTGCCCATTTGAGTCTTCCATTTAGTTCCGGGTACCGCCTGATGTCATGCGGTACCCGGAACGAAATGGACCAATCCCGAAGAGCTATGGCCACACCAGCAGCTTCCAAAACATTGCCCAGTTTGAGGCCGGATATGCACAGCTTGTTTGGACCGTTTGGAGCAGGGGAAGATCTGGGTATACAACCTGTAAGTTTGCATTGTTATTTGTGTATTTATCAAACAAGACTGTTTAAATGTGTAAACTGTGTTGGACTGCTAAGCCATTGACACAGTGCTAACTAAGTTGCTAGAGTTTCCATATATCAACTCTAATATCAGCAGATGGCCTTGCATACATGTATCTCATAGCAGGAGAATGTCTGCATTCACACACAAAATACCTATTGACAGTATACTCCGGGTGATTTGCCGGTCAGTCGCGAAACGTAATTACATTATAGCTGGCGTAGCGATCTAACACACGGAGAAAAACATTTTTGTGATGCTACGTTGCTAGCGTTTAAATATATCAACTACAATGTCAGCAGATGGCCTTACATGTTTGTCATGGCAGGAGAATGTCTGCAGTCACACACACGGAATACTCATACAGTATACTGTACTGTGATTTACCGTACATTGTGACCGTACATATACTGCATGTAGCTAACGAGGCTAGCTGTATGCTAGCGCAAAACAATGTATTCATGCAAGTTACATTGTATGACCGAACGTAGCAGAATACCCGTATACGATTGCAATTATAAACACGTTATTGCTAGCCTAATATGAACCACTAGCTTTTGTTCATAGTAGTTTTATTACACTGCATTATAGTTGCCTTTCCTCCAAGCTAACGTTCATATCGTGTTAGCTACCAAGGTAAACAAAGCTAGGTTAGCATATTAGCAGGCAAGCTGTTCATTACACAACTACTACTAACAAATCTAAAACAACTAAGTTTCTCTAATATTTTGTGATTTGCATTTGATTTCGTCCAGCCAGATCCTGGCGGACAATCCATGACGGGGAAGGGATTCTACTACTACTGAGGGTGCTAAAAGGCACCGCACCGACTGTGCGCAGGCAAGATGCGAGGAGGAGGAATGGATGATATACCGTGTATATATGTATATTTATGTTCATTTTGTACATTTCTAAAAATAAAGTTTAATGGAAATACTTAGTAGGCCTATCCTTTCTTCCCTGAATTCATATATAGCAAACCATGATTTGATTTCTCATCAAACAGTAGTAGTTTATAACGGGTAAAAATAACTTACTCTTTGTTATGAGAGTCGCTCGTAGGCCACAACGGAAAGACAAGGAGACATACACGAGTTTACAAAACCACGGCACATTTATTGTAGTAAATGCAGAGACAGGTGGTCGAGGGGAGAGGGTCGCTCAGTTCGTCCTTCTGCAGCCGCTTTGGAGAGAGACTCCGGGCCGCTGGGATTAATAGCACCGGCTACGGAGGTGTCCGTGATCGCGCTGATTACCCTCTTCAGCTCCACCCCACCGTAAGACAAAGGCCCTGAGGCCGTCACACTCTTCTATAACAACAGTTAAAAATATATATGTATATAAAATATACCGCTGTACCGACGCCATGATAAGACTGATGTTACGCTGAGAGCAGCCGGGAAAAGCACTGACATGGGCGCAGCCTCTCTGGTGGTTGACTAATCAGAACGAGTGGCCGAGCTGACCAATCGGAGCACACTAGGCTCACAGGGAGGGGGGGGCAAGAGCTCCAACGAGTCGTTTAGTGGAGAAAGTGAATACTGCTGAATACACATGCTTGACAGAGATGCTGTATGCGAAACCAATGTGAGTTTGGAAAATTGCACAGTATAAATCTATTTTAGTATACCTCAACAATGTAATTATGATCAGTGGAAATGGCCATGACATGGGCCCTTTAAGAGCATTCCATGGAATATAACAAAAAGTGTATCTCGAGCCGGTTTCTCAAACTTATCTACCCCACATTTAATATCTAAATATGACAAAGAAATGTTCCAACCTCTGAATGAGAGTTTAGGCAGGTTCAGACTTATTAAATAAAATACCATTTTAAATATTTAGTAAAGAGTTTTTGATGTATCTTCGGGTTTTGCCATTTCCATGCATTTAACCAAAATGAAATGTCTGAACCAAAATGCATTTAAAAAATGTACTTTTATGTAATAGAACTCAAGAATGTCAATAAAATATTGTAACTCAGTCTGTGGTTTCCTGTATTTGAAATCAGTGTGTGTATGTGTACATGTATAAGTTATGTTGTGGGGCCCATGAGTACTCAGTCACATTCCTACACTGTAAATGATTACGTTAAAGTTTAAAGACTTAATTAACCCCTGTGTTCTGTTCACATTTTGCACTCTTTGGTACTGTTCAGCTCAAATTGACCCGAGCCAGGATAGCGGCTAAAGCGGCTGTGTAAAAATATACAGACATTTAAATGAACATACACAATCTCTGTCACGCTCACAGATACAGATCAGAACCCACAGCTGGGTCCCCAACATCACACACTCTGACAATACATTCCGTACGAAATGTGTCAGGGGAAAAAAGGGGGACGTCCCTCTCTTAAGAGGGAAATACAGGCCACTCTCCGTGTGCCGAGGCAGGAGAGAGGCGCACAGCTGGATCCCTGACGTCACTCACTCTGACAGGACACTCAGCACAGGGTGTGTCAGATGGGAGACATCCCTCAATAAAATTGAATGAATGAACAGGGAGAAGACCAAGATGCAACAGTGCAAATGTCTTCCACTGACATTCCTCCGTGCAAAGCCGTGGAGGAGGAAACATTCCTCTGGCTTTGAGGAGGGGGAAAGAAGCCAGCCAGGGTGATCACTCTTGACCTAAAAAAGTTTGTGATGACCTTAGCCTTAGGCATGAAGCCGGTTTAGCATAAACGGCTGTCCTCCCTGGCGATTGAGGTAGGCTGCCGTGGCCTGTTGGCTGGGCGAATCAACACATGTTTGATTGTACAGCAACGGGGCGAAGTGCTGGAATACTTCCCAACCCGGAGAACAGCTCCAGCACATTTACCCCTGACGCACGGGGTCAGTGCGTGGGCGAATGAACCACCTCTGGAGACTCCTCCTGTGGGGGAGACCCCGGGGAATCCCCACGTGATCAGCTGACGTCATGCTGAGCAGCTGTATCACGGAGAGGGCTGTCACCACGCTGTGGGATGTGACACGCTGGATAGGGAGCTGTCAGTTCCTCCACTCGGTGCAGCGAGAGCCGCACTCTGTTGCTGAGTTTTATTCCACTCGCAGATAAATGAATGTCTGGGGGGGAAGAGGACAACTCGAGCGAGCTATGCAGTTTATAAACCAATAGGTTAAAACAGCAGGCTTTCTGCAGCGAATGACCCACCTCTGGAGTCTCCTCCTGTGGGGGAGACCCATGGGGATCTTTGAGCTTTGACAGATGCGATACGAGATGTAACGTCTGTAAAGCGACTTCCTCATGCTGGATCGAGCCTATAGCAAACAGCAGGTCGACCAGAGAAAAAACCTCATTCTCATCCCTCCTCTCTGTGTAGTGGCTCCAGCCTTCTCTAGACAAAATGCGAGGAGCCAGGGAACATCCAAACAGCAGACGATTGTCTGGTCTGATATTCCCTGAAAGAGAAACGCAGGAATTCCCTGTGTTTCGGGATGGTGGGTATGGAAGTATATGCATCATCCTTCAGGTGGAAGTGAACCAGTCGTCCTGGTGAACACATTCCAGCACCTGTTTGATCGTCAGCATGGGAATACTGATAGATCAAGGATGGGTCTCACTCCCCCGTTGGAGAGGCTTCTCTGTGATATACTGTAATGGTCGTCATGACCGTGCTCTGTAGGAGGCATATCTGAGACAGAGGAATGCCGCGAGCTATGCAGTTTATAACCCAATAGGTTAAAACAGCAGGCTTCTGCAGCGAATGACCCACCTCTGGAGTCTTCTCCTGTGGGGGAGACCCATGGGGATCACCGCGTGACCAGCTGATGCGAATGCCAAGCAGCTGCGTCACGGAGAGGGCTGTGCGGGTTTTAGACACGCCGGAGGAGATCTCGCTGCAGTTCCTCCACTCGCTGCCGCAAGAGCGCGCTCTGGTGGCTGAGTTTAATTCCACTCCCAGATAAATGAATGTCTGAGAGGGAAGAGGGCAGCTTTTCTCCAAATACATTATGAAACCCAGGCTTTGACAGATGCGATACGAGATGTAACGTCTGTAAAGCGACTTCCTCATGCTGGATCGAGCCTATAGCAAATAGCAGGTCGTCCAGAGAAAAAACCTCATTCTCATCCCTCCTCTCTGTGTAGTGGCTCCAGCCTTCTCTACACAAAATGCGAGGAGCCAGGGAACATCCAAACAGCAGACGATTGTCTGGTCTGATATTTCCTGAAAAGAGAAACGCAGGAATTTCCTGTGTTTCGGGATGGTGGGTATGGAAGTATATGCATCATCCTTCAGGTGGAAGTGAACCAGTCGTCCTGGTGAACACATTCCAGCACCTGTTTGATTGTCAGCATGGGAATACTGACAGATCAAGGATGGATCTCATCCCCCCCTGTCTTTTTCGGGACAAGAAAATAGCGGGAGTAATACCCCTGATTTTCTTCCCCTTGAGGAACCCTGGAAATAGCCTCTTTCAACAGGAGTTCCCGCAGCTCTGCTTGGAGCGCAAGACACTGTTCTTGGGATGACAGGAGTGTTTCCTGTATCCCATTGAACTGTGGGGGGGGGGAGGCGAACTGCAGGGTGTACCCTCTGCTGATCAGCCTGCTCATCCATCTGTCCATCAGACACACGCGCTGTCACTCTGAGAAATTCTCTGAGAGCGGGCGCACATGGTCGAGATGTTCTGTGGTCGTCTTGGCGACGAGCCACGTCAGAGCCCTTTCCGCCGCTGCCTGTGAGGCAACCCAAGGTGGGCCTGAAGCGAAAGGGCTGTGAGGGAGCCTCCACACGCTGCGTTTCACTCTGGCTCTCATCATGAGGCGTGTACACGCTCAGGGGATGAATGGAGATGTATGCAGTGTTGACCACATGAGGCGTTATAACGGCGCTCATGGGTTTATTATGACCGTGTGTAGGAGACGTATCTCGGACAGAGGAATGCCGCGAGCTCTGCGGTTTATTAACCGATAGGTTAAAACCAGCAGGCTTCTGCAGCGAGCCCTGCTGCCTACTAATCAACAGATTGGTGGCAGCTGGCTTAGTTGGCGAACTCTGCAGTTTATTAACCGATAGATTAAAAAAGTGCAGGTTTTCGCAACGAACCCTGCTGGCTACTAACCGATAGGTTATAGACAGCTGGTTTACACAGAGTGGAGGATATGTGAGAAACACTTGATGATACTGATGACTCAGACAAAAAGTTGGAAAATGAACCCATTTTATTTCTCTCACTATCCCCCCCAACACGTCAAAGGCGGCTCTGTTTTCTTGGAGGCTCACGAGGAGCGGATACAGAGCGGGAGTGCCTCCCTCCCCGTTGGCTCACCGCCGAGAGACCCCTCCGTCTCTGGGGTGGCGGGGGAGCGGAGACGCGGGGCGGAGCCCCTGCCGCCGCCGACGGGCGCTGACGCAGCGATTCCCGTTGGTACCTCTCCGCCTGCCGCTGTGGCCGGGTTGGACGCTGCGGCTGCTGCGGCTGCTGCGGGTGTTGGTGCCGCCCAGCAGGCTGGAGCCAGCTGACGTGCTGGCGGATGTCGTCCGCCTGTTCCGCAGCCGCCTTCATGGATTCCACCATGGCGTGGAACTGGGGTCCGAACAGCCCGTCCGGGCTGATTGGAGCATCCAGCAGCACTTTCCTGGCCGTTTCTGTAACGGACGCCTGCTGCAGCCAGAGGTGGCGCTGGATTTGCGTCACCCACGCGGCGATTCTAGCCTGGGAGACAGCAACAGACGCACACAGTGTGAGCGTCGTGCTGGCAGCCTTGGCGATCTCCTCCGCTTCGTCAGCGGCCAAGGTGGTGGACCGCTCCACCAGCGTCACCACCGAGTTGGACAGCAGCGCGATGTTGTTTGCCGCCGCCGACGCCTGAAAGGCACACTGGTGCACCCGGTCGGCCTGGCGGGCAACATACTGGTCCCTGGTGGAGGCCAACGTAGGGCGCCGTCCGGCGATCACGTTGGCCTGTCTCACCCCAAAAAACGCCGTCAGGCTCGGCTCCAAAGAAGGGGTGGCTGGGAAACCAGCATCTGTGAACCCCTCCACCTTGGTGAGGGGAACAAATGTGGCCACCGGAGCCTTCAGGGTCCTCGGGTTCGCCGCCGCCCCCTCCTGGTACCTCCTGATGGCGGGGAAGCGTGGCCAGACCGGGTCACTCCTGACCGTCTGTCCCCGCGAAAAAACTCCGGTCATATCGTCCGGAGCACACCTCTCCTGAGCTGGGGGAACGGGGAGACCTCTGCAGGCGGCCGCCTTGCATATGATCTCCGGTAGTTCCCCTAGGATGCCACCTATCACCGGCAGCGCCGTGGTGACGGAGAAGGGGACCGCGTGCTCGTCCGCCAAGCTGGCACCCTGCTCCAACTCTGTCTCCCCCGTCTGGGGGAGAGGAGGGAGGGGAGAACCGTACGGTGAACCGTGGAGGGAGGCGGGGTAGGAGTCGTCCGACACCTGCCCGGCACTCGGCTCCAGGGACATGAGGCCGCCGTTCACGGGCTCGGCCGCAGCAGCGAGAGCGTCCGCTCTTCGCTTCCTGTCGTCCGCGGGGAGACGGGCACAGTGTGTGCATGCGACCTGCTGGCTGAGAGCCGCATATGCGTGCTCTGGCCCCAGGCAGGATTCGCACATCGTATGCTGGTCGTAACCCATAATGTATCCAGAGCCACATGAGGGACAATCTCTCACACAATTGCTGCTCATGATTGCTCTGTTAATGAAAGTGTCTCTTGTGCTTCAGTAACGGGGTGCTGAAGAAAAAGAGGGAGCAGATTGTCGGGCCTCCTTCCTATTTATACCGGAAGGGAGCCCGAGGGTGGGGCCCACCTTGCGGGCGGGCGTGGACTACAAGTGTTTCAGTGCTGCGCGGGTGCGCAGGGGGATTACCCAATAGCGATAGCCTTAGAGGGCGAAGCCATATACGAAATAGAACAACAACAATAAAAGTGTCTAACTTGTGACAATCTCTAACATATTTTGACTATATCTCAGTCTTAAAACATTTATTATTTATGATTAATGTCTGCAAATACTTTCTGAGGACTCATTCCCTACTGGGAGTATAAAGGCCTCAGACTAAGAGCTGCAATTCAAAGGCCTGGCTTCACTCTGTACGTGCAGGTTTTTGTGGCATTTAGAAGAACAGAGGGCATTTCTTGTAAATGCTGAAGGGAGGGGGGAGCAGGGTTTACTGAAGGCAGTTATCTAAAAATGAAAGGCAAATACATTCTGATGAGAAATGTAAGGGTA